AGGCTTTATATCAAATATAATCTTTTTAATCCTCGTTGTGGCCATATTTAGTGTATATAACGTTTGGCAATAACATATTATAATTGGTTCAAGAATCGATTTTAAGTCACATCGTTGAATATAGTATATATACTATACATTTGTAAATAAAGCATTAAGTGTATTAACCTGCAATAACTGTTTGAACTATAGTGATGATACTAGACTATTAACCTTTCGTGTCAATACCGATAAAAACTGACTTGTAGAACCATGGTTAAATCATTTATGCCAAAATGATTGATTTAATGATTCATTACACAAGTTGTAGTATAACAATGTGCGTTCTTTGAAATGCGATGATCGCTGCATGTTAACAAATCCTCACAGCATGTGAGAAAGGATAGCTTTCAGCTATGTTTAGCATATATATATATATATATAGTGTAATTCGTGTACGGATGAATAAATCACCTCTTTGGCACCTTGTATATAACTTTAATTAATTGGTAGTTGCTGCTGTCGAAAGAATTAAATATCAAGTTAATGCCTGCATAAACTACTTTCATTGACAGTGCAGCAGCATATAGTTTATCAGGAGTTTCCAAACGGTAATAAATAAACAGTATTGCATAATAGACAAGAAAAATGTATGCCCTTTGATAAGCACGTTTTTCTTTATATCATCCGACTCTGTATGGAATGTATTATTTTATTTATTTATCTGTCTAACAAAAATGAAATATGAAACCAAGTAAAACTAGTTGAGGCCTTCTCGTTCTGGAAACAATCCCAAAATATGAAAAAAACGTCTTCTACTCGAACGAAAAATTCATTTTGTTACTACTTTTGCCTTGTGTTATGATTCGAGCCAATTCACGTTCCGTTCTGACAAGTAGCTTCACAGCTTTCTGGTTCATATTCCCAAGCCCACTCGACGACTCTCTACTTCGCTACTTTTCCCACTGCATACTGCAATCGACTCTCTACATATCCCTTCATAACTGCTTTATCTTCAGCTGACAGGTATTTTATTTTATATAAAGTCATGAGAAATCATGCCGTTATGTCACTATGTTCTGTAGTGTTTCCACCAATAGCCAATAGCATCTGTATGTAGTCGAATCATGTCACCTGTAACTGTGGAAAAAACAAAACAATTCATATTTTGTACTTTCAATTACCGTCTTTAGATGCACTAACCTATCACAGAATGATATCTGCTATGATGTCTAGATTAAATGCCAATGATTTGAACAGATTTTGTGGAACAGTTTCTGTAAGCGCCCAAAAGTACTATTATTCAGTTGCACAAATCGTTTGGTTTACAAAATGTGTTTAAATGCGTAATATGATATCTCCCTTCACATATTTACATTGTTCTTTCCACTCAATAATTCATTTCAACTATCTAGAAATGTTTTTTTAATTATTTAAACTATTGAACAGACTGTTTTTAACTATATTAAAAATTCATAGTAAATCAGCTAATTTCCTGTCATTTTACGCAGTATCATTTACATTCGCTATCAAGAGTTAGTTACATATTTACCACCAGGACTTGATAAAAGAGGTGCATGTAGTCTTAAAGTTTCCTGTTTCTTTTTACACATTGTTTTGAGTGGATTGCCCAGGCATTACAAATTTTAGTAAGCGAACTCGTATATGTAGTTTGTTTTTCAATACCGTAGCTATGACAGGAGAAGATTATGTTAATCATATGTTCAAATTTTCAATCTGGTGTGCTTTCTCGACGGCAACAAAGGCCACCCGAATACAATCTACTGTAGATAATATGAGGTTATTACGAGGATACCTTAAAGTATGCACGAAGACAGAAGAGCGGAAGTATCAACCGACGCGCAGCGGAGGTCGACGTGTTGTCTGAGTGCATTCTTTGAGGTACACTCGTAATAACTTTATTATTATACATCTTTTCCTTCCAAGGATACATCATGGGAATGCCGAAATCCAAAATGTTTAGAACAGAATAAGCGAACTTCTTTGTGTGGAGTCCGATCAAAACCCTGGTGGCCGCCATGTTTGTTTTTATTATTAGAGGACGCTTACGCGCGTAATCTTTTCAAATTTGGAATTCGCATTTCCTTACATGGTAGGATGAAAATACCTCATAAAATACGGCACGCTGTAACTTGTGGTGTTACGGTGACAAATGTATAATAATATTTAATATTAATATTTAACCATTCCGTTCACATTATAACAACTTAGGAAACGAAACGACATAATTTGAGTGAATAAAATTGTAGAATATGCCGTTTTTAAAATATGCGAAAGTGCGTTACCAGCACCTCAATGCTTTCGTGATATTATAGACATTCTGAAATACCAACTAAGATTGAACACACTCGTGCAAAAGTGTGAAGGTGTAAACTTTATAAAGATGTCTGTGAGATAAAATGGCGCAGTACAACTTTTTCCACGTCTAACGTCAGATAAACTAATCATCGCGGTAATGATACAGGATGTGTGATTGGTCGACCTATGCGGTTTCCAGACGATTGAACCAATCGTATGTGAGTGTGTCATAACAGATAAGACCGCGACGGTTTCCGGCAATTGACTAATATTTTGACTATTCTGGTATCATTCAACCTGTATTGGTATTTCAGAATGTTCACGATATTGCTGAAATATCGGTGCATTGACACCACAATGTTTGCATAGTTCTTTTTTGTCAAAACGCCAAATTTTAAAGTGTTGACCTAGTCAAAATATGGAGTTTCGTTTTCCAATTTAACTACGCGTTCTCAGTATAATGTATTTTTCGTTACACGCGATTATGTCAGAGGAACTACTACGTTACCGGTAATCTGTTCTTTTGTCGTAAGGATTGTCTGGCTAATTCAAATGCAGCCATGCGAGATGATGGTACAATAATTGAGAACACATAATGATTTAAATATTGATCAATTAAACAGTTTTCTTTAAGCGGGAGGGTCGTCACCGGCGCACGCGCGGGAATTGAGTCCCAAGCGACGATATCAACATAACACAGGCTAAACACGCAAATGCTCATGGGTAGACGCTTGTTTGTAAACGATGACACACTATGGCCATCTGACGCATGCGCAGGTGACGACTCTCCCGCTTTAACTACTGCACCCTTATCCTATAAGGCAAATCAACATAAATAAGACAATGCGCAATGGAAAATTCACATATGAAATGGTTTACGAAATCGATATATCTTTAACATTTCTAAATTTTTATTAACACGCCAAAAATCACTGTGTTCTACATTAATTAAAATAAATTTTCAAAAATAAAAGCAAAAATCAAATAAATATGTTCACATCATATACAGTGTATGGAATGACGAAAGTGTCAAATAACTGTTAAATAAATCTGCAATTTCAAAGAATGTTCTTGTCTTTCTTTTTTATATCAATAACACCTATTTGGAACTGCTTCTGAAATTTGGCATATTCGTCTCTTTACATAACAATTAACTAAAAGTAAAGATCCCGCATAATAGTCAAAAGGACTGTTTTGCAGATATAATGATATATATATATACATATCTAGTAACTATGTTACGATGATGACAAGGTTATTTTTTTAATATAAAACACGTGCATATGTCATGAACTATTTCGTGCGGATTGGCCTGGCGTTGCCTACTGGCCGTATGCTCTGAGATTAATATGCATCCCGCTGTTCTGACCATGTATTGTAACATCCCGAGTCCCTTGTCGGGTTAATTGTGTGTTCTTAGAAATAATGCATAAATGTACATGGATCGTACGGGTGAACTTTGATTTCGATTGAGTGTGACAACATTTTGCACAGTGGTAATATTTTCATATATCGATACGCGCGTGGTGTTCAGAACCAACATTGTGCGTGAAAGCATACAATTTCCGTGCACCCATAAAATTAGTCTTTACTTCTTGCATTTTATTTGCATAACCAGCTAAATTCGAAAAGTGTCACTTAAAAATTCGATGACGGAACTACCATATGTTGTACGTGTGCTTATCCATTCACATAACATCAATTTGTTGTTAATGTAATGGTGCTAAGACCATTTTAATTAAAAGTGTCTTCTAACTATAAATTGAGCGAATAAGTTGAAAATAATACTCACGCTATAGTTGTGCAATTCAGAATAACACGTAGGAATATTACAGTCTGTATGTTCGTAAAAAAATCACCATGTCAAAATTCGCCTAAACAACAAGGGTATTGATCACTCCGCGGGTCGCACACAGCACGGATATTTGTGCGCAGCCCGGGGATTTCTAGTTCATATAGGTAGATGTTGTTGAGTAAAGTTGAGTAAAGCAGTCGGCAAATAATTAAAGCGGTGACGTGTGTGTATTTGTTTTTACACGAAATCACGAATTCCCAAGTTAAATTCGTTGGTTTAGTAAATAAAAACGAAACTATATAAGCGTAACATGGCTTTAAATCGAGTTGGAGTATAATTTTCGTATGTATCAAATTTGTTAATACTCGGATAACAAACACCAAAACTGACGTGTTATTTGCTTCAATTTGCTTCCATTGCTTAGGGAGAACTCCAACATGTATTAGTGTAGCGTCTATGCTGCCTGCATATGGCAAACAAGAGGTGCAAATACAATTGTGTTTAACGCTAAGTGCGCACGGAACCTCACATGCATGTATATTTCATGCTTGTCTTCTTTTCTTGTGTTGTTCATCATCATGCTACCTATTTGGGAACTGGTGCGTGATTCCGGTGTGTTCGTTATCAAGTATGAAACTGAGAATAAAATGTACTTGATATTTTCTTAAAGAACATTTAATATTCAAAATTGTATTTCAGAAGAACTTGAATAAAGACATAAGACGTGAAATGGTGACACAAAAGAACACCGACCCCTCTCCAAACTACTACGCCTATAGGGACACACAGGAATGCGAAGTCAGAACGTGACCGTAAAAGTATCAACATTTCAATAAATTACAAAAAAGCTGATTTACAGCGGATAAATCGACGTATTTCAGCCATAACCATAGCGCAACAGAGACTGTCACATACACGATACGCGATAGTCAACATGCTCGACGGATTTTGTTTTCGGAAAACCCCCGCGTGCTCCCATGGCCGGCGAGGTTCTAACTGGCGTGTAGCCAGCGCTTAACTCCTGGACGTCACTTCCTCTCAGATTCACCCTTCTAGAGTGACCGTCTTCGGACATATACGACTGCTCAGTGGTTGTAAAACCGCTGCGTAGCGTATTCTTGTACTTAATCCTTCCAGGACAGCACATTGTAATCACTGTTCGCTGTATCTTCAAATTGAAACAGCCGTAAAGGATGGGATTGATTGCACTATTAGCCAGTGCCATGGTCTCGGCGATCACGAACGAGACTTCGGGGATATCCTCCGCGTTGCCGTATATTTGCTGCAAGGTAACGATAAAATAAGGACTCCAGCACGTGACGAACGCGAGGATAATACAAAGGGTCATTTTAATTGTTTTGATCTTGCTGCGTTCAATTTTTTTCATGTCGACGTGGCGTGATTTAGCAAAATTATCCGTCACCTTTGTACGATGTTTCCCCCTGAAAGAACGCTTACTACTGACTACACTGTCTTTTCCCTGTGAACACACAACAAATACAATTCGTATGTAACAGTATGACACGATGCTTGCAGGGATGACCAGTATGTAGCAAGTCATCCAGGTGAAGTACACTTTTCTCTGCCACTCCGCGGTGTAGCCGTTGCTCTTGCAATAATACCTCACGTCGCCGTCGTCCTGAGATTTTTCAACTAAGACAAAAATAAATAGCTGTGGCAGAGCGAATATAAAAGCCATGATCCAGGCACCAATCAGCATTTTTTTGGCACGTGAAAGTGACCCACTGAAGCTCAGTGGTCTACAGATCGCCTGGAAACGATCAAAACTCATGACGGTGAGAATGAAAGTGGTACTCGCCAGCGTCACTATTTGGCCATAGACGATCAGCTTGCACATTACCTCGCCGAACACCCACTCACCGAAGGCAACGAACAAAATTTCTGTTGCCATGGTAACAAAGCACACAAATAGATCGCCGACAGCAAGGTTGAGGATGAAAATATTAACCCGGCTACTTCTGCGCGTGCCTTTAGTACACGACAAGACAGTGATAATTAAAGAGTTGCCTACGATAGTGAGCAGCATTATCACACAAATAGTGACTACACGCTGGATGACGCTTGGCGTCCAGATAGATGCTATGTCAGTGGCGATATCTGTATTGTTTAAGCTCTGGTTGCTAAAATATCCATTGATATCATCTTTCCATGTAATGTTCAGCACGATATCGTTGAATACCGATGCCATCTTCGCTACTCTTCCTACTCACTTAATAATGGTAAACACAAAAAATCACACTGTCACGCAATCGGCTCAAACGTCGAAAAACTGACGAGTCTCCAATAACGAATCAGGCGCAGCAGCTTTCAAAGAGGAATAATCGGCGGAACGAACGAACGATCGCAGCCTATACTATTCGCAATACATTCCAATTGGCTCATGTCACGCAGGAGAGGTTGAGGGAGTATCCACAAGGCTTAGTTGAAAAGTCAGTTGCAATTAACAAGTAGGTTGTCAAAAAACACACAGACACACGCAAGAGTAGTTATCCCTTGATGGCACATACACTTTACCTCTTTCACACATCGCTCATCGTACCGAATGTGCTGTTAGCCGATATTATGCTCACCGAACCCAGCGAACTTAGTAAGATGGGGTAAACTCTGCTATTTTAAACATGACGAATGTACATAGTGAGAAGACCAAGTATTGAGAGCATCGTTTTTTCAGTCATAGTGCTACGGAGAGTACAGCTTACAAATTACACACGAAGATTGCAGCGTCTTGTATAGTCTATTCAGAGAGTGTACGCAGTGTTACTTTTGAAGCACCAAGATAGCATCTATTTTAGAATCTGAAAAATAAAATGAGTATAAGGGTGAAAAGCCGTAATTAATTGTTATTTCCAAGAAGAACATTTGATGGTCGAAAAAAACATTTGAATAAAGGCATATTATGATTAGTATTATGATCAGTATTATATTATGAACAGTATTATGATATTACAAAAGTACAGCGGCCCCGATTTCATTTACTACGCACATTGCCACACACACGAATGAGTAGTCAAAATGAGTTACATCTTAAAGCATCAACATTTTAAGAACCTGGAATAATATGGATGTACTTGTTCGCCCTTCGCTTTCAATTCGTTGTCATTTGTATAAATGTTATTCCGACATAATCTCAATCATCCGTTAACCCTAACCTTTTCATTGGATGTGCCAATAAGACATGACCTGGGGTAATCAAACACACATATGGTTAGGTAGAAATGGATCCAAGCAAGACGATGACCCACTTTTGGGATAAGGTAATGTCATTTGGCGCTGTGATATATATATGCGCTCACGTGACCGGCAAACACAATGTGTGCGTACACCAATGGGCTCATAGATACGTTGTATAATACGCATAGAACTATTTTTTTAATCTTAGCAATGACGTCATCATGATCAAGATGTAGATCACAAGTGTAGTTTGTCTGCTGCAATGAATCGTGCTCGGATCGTACCAATGTTGTGTTTTCTAAATTGATTGTGTCAAATGTTCTACATTTAATATAACAGGCCATAATGAGCGGTCGGTTATTGCTAGTCGATGACAATTGATTAATGACCAGTCTACTAGGGATATTGCTAGGGATATTACCGGTGCAATAATCTCAGTTCTCCTGACGGTCGATAGATTTGACAATTCCCGGTTCTTGCGATAACATGTTAAATCCCCCACATCGATTAAATAACCCATTATTTTACGTATTTAGCACTTAATATAGTTATTTGTTCGCGATTGCGTGAGCCTGAGAAGTGACGTAATAATTTCTTCGTCATTACAAATGAATGTGTGTCATTTCATGCAATGCATTGCATGTACACGTCAAGTGTTGATGAATACACACCGTAGCGGCATTTCAGACACTTAAGTAAGTGGAAATAACATACCCACCCACAATTCGTTAAACACAAAACAAATGACTGACAACCATCTCTCTTGTCATCAGACAGAAAGCTGGCCCTCAAAGTCAAATTCAAAGCACATTATATAAGCATAAATGAACCGATTTTGTAGTCTCCTTAATCTATCATTGGAATATATTCATTAAATTTGGGATTGCTGATGGAAAGAAATTCGTCAACATAAATGAGGGATTCCTTTGTATCATTGTTTTTTTTACCAATTTCTGTAGAAATTTGACTTTATACGAATGAAGGAATAATTCAGCCAGCAAAGTAGAACAATTTGTTCCCATCGGAAATCTTCCCAACTCGACAAATGTTGTCAATACAAAAATTCCAGCATACTGATAATTTTATCTTCAGTGTAGTAAAATTTTGTAACCGCTCTGTTCTTATTAAGGTAATTGCAGCTGTATATAATCACTATATACTTATAGGGAGTAGAACTGTCAATGTAATGTTTCAATATCTACATCTGATTTATACCACTTAGAGTAAGGACAGTATTGTTGACTCATTAGAAAACATTTAAATGAGTTTACGAGGTTTGACTATGCAATACAATCCATCCCTAGTGTCGCCATATCAAGCTTATGCACTACCCTGTATTACCCATCCCAAGGAGATACACAATGACAACAACGGGGTATCATTAGCATGATTGAGACAACTGGCTAAGAAAAAAAAATGCGACGTAAGGCCCATTTGCAATTAACGTCTTTTTCAATGTGACAATTTCACTCTGTTGATCCTTACTCAGATGACCAAACACGTACGGGTTACTTTCGGTCATTGGGCGTCACCTGGTTTGGACGTATTGCGGGGAATTGCTACTTATACAACTAGTGCAGTCGAATATTTATGCAACCGAAGCAGTCATGCAAATGATGAAGAGTGTTCCAGATTGAATGAAGCATTATTTATTAATGGGAATCATTTACATGTATGTCACGTGACTCCATTCCCGCCAATCATCGCTGCGATATTGATTATTGATTGTAGGCACGTTAGCGTCGATCAAATCAAGCTGCTTGCAAAACGGATGTGATTAAAGTGGTTTACTCTCTGGAGAGAGCGAGAAAAAAAGCGAGTAAAATCGGTCGTATTGTAACGAATAATAGAGCTTTTACAATTACTGTATTATTTATATTCAGAAGCGTACATTTGTGTTATCATATTTTGCGAATCACATACTTAATACAGTAATTTACAATTTGACGCAAGGTAATATTATCAGAATACAATCTCATGTACTTTCCCCGTAAATCGCATCCACTCTGGGAGACTGCTGGGCCTTCGATTATGCTAGATAGCTATGAATTAATTTTTAGAGGAGGCGTCAATAGTAAATTTCCGAAAAAAAAAACTCTAAAACCACACACTTGAAAATCAATATGCAAAACGAACAATAAATGTTATATGTGCATTTTAATAGCACAGTGCAATTTTGAGGATATCATGCTAATTTGTATTCACGACTTGAACTCTAAATGCACCTGATTAAAAACCAAGATACGAAAATACTCCATGTTGTCAAATTCTTTTACATCAAGTAATATCGGCAGCTGCGACCGGGAAATGAAATATTTCTTGCAAAAAACCCTTTCACAAAAGAACTAACATTTCCCAATCATTATATCCCATGTACTGTAATCAGGAAAACGCCATTACGATTGAATAACAAACTGAAGCTCGGGAAATAAATAACATTACGTACTACGCTCGTGACTAGAATATAAACATATAAATCACAAGACCTATTAATCGCCTTTTTCAAACACGCAATGCTTTTATCGAGTTAACGTTTAATGCTGCTCCATTACGATAACGATATTCCACTAACTTAGTGGACATTTCAATACATGGCATAAAATATATAGTATTCGCCATCTTTCCAACACTCAAATGCCTACAAGTAACTATAAACATATTTAGAGAGTTTACTAATTCCACTATTCCTTGACGGTAAAAGCGATAACTCAAACGTGTTGGATGGTCATTGTGTGAACGTTTTTTTTTTAAACAAACACGGTTTCAGTACTTAAGTAAATCAATCTGTAACATTTACGAGGAGTTGTATAAATGTTTTCCGTTCAGATTTGGCTCGGTGCGACTTTTATTCACTTTAGCTTTGTGTTGCAAGAATTGCAGATGGTTTATAGCGCACGCAACTAAGTTATTCTGCCAATTACCAGACGCAGCGTCGAAGTGGCCTCTAACAGTATTTGAGTTGACTGCCAGCATCTACGAGTGCACGCCAATTATCACACGCGGCAGTATCGTAGTCACGGATTCATGTTCACACACTTTGTTTAAACATTCCGTTAAAAAAGGGCAAAATGCATCACAATATTTACATCATCGTCAACGCGGTTTGGAAAATTAATAATGGTACACTGTACATTCAATCTCGGAGAATTCATGAGCAGTCTGTCGTATTTTAAATAAGAGTCGATGTTTCTATGTACGGTATTAACGGCAAATACCACTACGACGCACAATAAACAGAGCCTCGATATGAATACTAAGAAGACTGAAATTTAGACTATTGATTGAAACATTCAAACTTCTATTTGGTAGATTGATGTTTTTCTTATTTGTCGTTTTCCAATTTTGAATGTCTATTTTTAAAACTGAAAGTAATATAAACCCGAAAGAAATATAACTTTGACTATTGATCATTATACTATAAGATTGTTACGATTGATTAGACAATTATACTATTATTGATGAGACGTACATGACCATACCTCAGACCTGACGTTAGTCCTTTTCTAAAACAGAATTACAGTCCTCGCTATTCATATGTATCATATTTAGAAAAAAAATCAGTTGCAATATTACAGAATATTTAATTTGTGTATAGTATTTCATTACTCTTTGGTACATTCGTAAACATGAACACATTTTATAATCTTTTTAATCAGTATTAATTGTATTAATAAATTATATATTAATATTATTATTATTATTATTATTATTATTATTATTATTATTATTATTATTATTATTATTATTATTATTATTATTATTGACACAAGAATCTTTGGAGCATTGAATTAGCACGTGCCATCGATTAGGGTCACTCCTTGTTCAATAAAATCTCGAATAATCCAACTATTTGCAAGTAAATGTTAGCAAGTCGTGCTGAAAGTATAATTCATCAATTACTCATAATTCATCAATCAAGTCATAATTTGAGGTAAATATGCTTTTCCTGTCGAAAGCTATATTCAGTGATTTATAGCGTAACTGGAAGCTGCTGGTTATAGTGGCGTGACGCATTTG